TAAGAATCTGAGCCCTCAGATTCTTAGCTTTAATAGGCTGCTATTATGGCTCGTTTCCCAAGCTAGAAACCTCAGAAAACCTCCGAATTAAGAATCTGAGCCCTCATGTTCTTAGCTTTAATAGGCTCCTATTAGGGCTCGTTCCCAAGCGGAAAACCTCCGAACTAAGAATCTGAGCCCTCAGATTCTTAATCAAGAATCTGAGCCCTCGGATTCTTAGCTTTAACAGGCTCTTGCAACAAAACCTCCGAATTGAGCACCGGCTCTAGAGCTTGAAGGCTCAAAGGTGTTCAAGGGTTTGGGGTTCGGCTTGAATCGAAGGGTTTCAGGTCTCAGCCAAAGGCCCAACGCGCAAAACCCCAAAACCGTCATAGCAGCCAGTATGATAACTTTTTTTAGTGAACCCTAAGCCATAAGCCCGTGGATTGCAGGACTGTTGGGGCCGGGGCTCTGTTTGGGCACCGTGTGGTGTCTACTCCTAAGGCTCCATGTGCCCATACAATAGATACGTTGGCCCTAACGTACCCATACGGGCAAAGTATATACTATATGGGAACATGGAGCCTTGGGGTAGGGCTTAAAGTCAGCGGGCTAAGGATTCTACTCCTAAGGCTCCATGCGCCTATATAGTAGATACGTTGGCGCTAACGTACCCATATAGTCGCTACTTTCAGGACAAAGTATGTACCATATGGGCACATGGAGCCTTAGGGCGGGGCTTAAAGTCAGCGGGCTAAGGATTCTACTGCTAAGGCTCCATGCACCCATATAGTAGATACGTTGGCCCTAACGTACCCATATAGTCGCTACTTTAAGGCCAAAGTATATACCATATGGGCACATGGAGCCTTAGAGTGGGGCTTATGGCCAGGGCGCTACGGATTCTTCTCCTGCTCCTGCTCCTACTCTTACGAGACCAGGAGCAGTTGCTAACACCTCTGTAAGGCGAGAGCTTGCAAAAAGAAGCTTAGGAATGGTTAGGGTTTGCAGATGCAAAACGTTGACACTCCTGCTTTCTGCCACGTAGTCACTCACTAGTCGTCCAGCTTCAACCACTTTAGTGGTACTTCCTTCAACCCTCCGCCAGTCATGACGAAGGCCTTGTCGCCGTCGATGGCCTCGCAAAATCCGTTCACGACCAGGTCTTTTTGAGGCAACCTCACTGCTTCCAGTGTCACCTCGTCTGTGGTACAGACGCGGTGCCCGACCCACGGGTGGCTTGGCCCTTTGGGTGCGTGAGGAAGCAGAGGCCGCAAAGGTCTGGAACGAGCTTTAGCTTTACCGGCACTCTTCTCTTCCGGCTTCGGTTTCGCTGCAGCTTTCTTGGCGGCTGGCTTCTTGGGTTGGGGTGCTTTTGCTTTGGCTGGCGGAACTGCAGCAGAAGCGGCGGCAGGTTTCTTGGGTTGGGGTGCTTTTGCCTTGCCTGGCGGAGCGGCCGCTGAAGCTGGCGCAGCCTCAGAGGAACTGGAAGAGTCAGAACTGGACTCTGACCCTGAGGAACTCGAACTGCTTCCATCTTCGTCGTCGCCTGCGGCAGCTTGAGCGATGATGTGGTCACTGACGCCTGTGCACATGGTGCGAGCCGTGTCCAGGTAGTTTGGGCCGAGACGAGTCCCTGGAGGAAAAGGCTTGTAATCCTTGCCCAAGCCTTCGATCTTCATGAACTCGTCTGTGCTGCCATCCCGGGCTATCAAGCATCCGGTTTTTTCCCAGTAGGCTCGTCGACCACGGTTGTACTTCGCATCACAAATTTCGAGGAAGGCCTCCCCCACAATTTGAGTGAGAAGGATGCGCTCATTCCGGGCCTGCCACATCAATACGGTTTCAAACACAGTTTCCCCATTATCGGCCTTAGCAACTGGGGTTATAAATAAGGTAGTCACAAAACTTATAAGCATTTAAAACGTTCATCAAGGGACGTCTAACCTAGCTTACTAAGTCCCCTGATCCTCCAAGTAATCCTACTCCTACTACGAAGAGCAGTTGCTAACACCTCCGCGGGGCAAGGGCGGCTTAAGGTCCAGGGCCGGCGTAAGTCTAAATTTCTGGGGTGCAAAGCTTAGGGCCTAGGGCTTACGGGATGAATCAGGCCTCCATGTTGCCGCTTTCGAAATCTGTCGCCACGTCCGGGTTCTTGTCCAGGTATGCCTCAAGTCCCTGCATCATGAGCGATTTGAAGTGCGCGGCAAATCCCTGATCAACGGGCTGCCATCGGTGTGTCAAGTTTGCAGGCCCAAAGAAGCACTCCACGTTCTTTGCCTGCAGCATCTTCAGCAGACCCTCGTCTCTCTGCGTGGAGAGGTTGTCCAGCAAGAGAAGCGCCCTGGCGTCACCCACCTTGTCCTGCTTGTATGGCAGGAACTCCTCTGTGTACCAAGTTTTGAGGACAGGCAGGTCGAGCCACGCGTTTTCTTGGAATGCGACTTTGACTGATGAATGGTAAAATGCAACTTCCTTGTCCAGCACCCGGCCTTTGCCCTTGAAAATCAACAGAGGTCTCAAGAGCTCAGACTCTTCGTCTCCGCACAGCGTCAAGTGCAGCGTGGCCACCCTCTTGTTGCCGTGTTTCCCCGGGTTGTCCACGGCAACTCGGCCTTCCTTGCGCTCCGCCACACCAGCATAGGTGTGGTCTGGCATCAAAAAGCTGTTGATGCCCGTGCTGTCGCAGTTGAAGCGAGCGACAGGTGGGAAAGCACCCCATTTGTCATCCTCACGGGTTGTTTGGCTTTAGCCCTAAGCCTCCATGTGCCCATATAGTAGATACGTTGGCCCTATGTACCTATATAACCACTACTTTACAGGCAAAGTATATACTACATGGGCACATGCAGCCTTGGGGCAGGGCTTACAGTAAAGTCAACGGGCTACGGATTCTAATCCTAAGGCTCCATGTGCCCATATAGTAGATGCGTTGGCCCTAACGTACCCATATAGTCACTACTTTACGGGCAAAGTATATACTATATAGGCATACTGTATGGAGCCTTGGGGTAGGGCTTAAAGTCAGCGGGCTAAGGATTCTACTGCTAAGGCTCCATGCACACATATAGTAGATACGTTGGCCCTAATAGACCCATATAGTCGCTACTTTAAGGCCAAAGTATATACCATATGGGCACATGGAGCCTTAGAGTGGGGCTTATGGCCAGGGAGCAGTTGCTAACACCTTTGTGGGGCAAGAGCGTGTGCAAAAAGAAGCTTAGGAATGGTGGAAATCTACGCCTGTTAAGGCTTTTCAGGTGCTGAGGTTTGTCAGCGCGCAACTCCTGCTGCAAGTTGAGGGGCTTCAGGACCAGCTCTCGGAAGTACAGATGCCATGCTCGCATCCTGTGCGCGGCCTCTTCAGGCTTGTCTGGCCGACGACAGGTAATCCGACGCTGACAGTAGCCGTTGCGTAGCGCGAAGGCTGAAGCCCAGCGTTTGCTGGCCTTGAAAGGACGACCTCGCCATGTCAACGCTGCGTCGTTGTCCTGCAGATGCCAGATGTTTTAGTTCGAGCTTCGAGTGTTTGGGGGTTCGGGCTTGTTGGGCTCAAGGCTTAAGGTCTGCCGTTCAGGGCTTTCGTAAACGAGCAGCGATTTTTTCGCTGCAGCCACACCCCCAAATGTCCTTGAGCCACTGGAGGCCTTTGCGTGCTATCCACGCAGTTCCGATTCGCTTCTGTTCGTCCCTGCGCGTCTTCATCATTTCCAGAACTGCGGTCTCCATCTCCTTCCACAGACTCGGCCTCGAACTTCTTCGGAAAATGTGCTTGCGAAGTGGCGGCAAGTGGCGGAACGTCAACCTCTTTCGCTCCTCTGCTGCAGTCTTCAGAACTTCTTGAGCCGACTTGGCCCACTTCGAGACCAAGGACGGGTTCACTCCCATCTCTTGAGCCTCGGTCTGGAAAGGTGTGGGGTCGTTGTGCTCCTGGAACTCCCACAACTTGTGCAAGACGTCGGACTTGAAAATCGAGGTGATCTTCTGACGCTTGTTGGCACCCCTGGTGAGCTTGACCTTGCCATCCTTGCGTTTCCTCTTCTTGTTCTTAGCGTCCGCACCCTCACCAGCCTCCGCATGCAGTACAAATCAATGGCTCGATCTTTCTATCCTGCTATTCGTCAGTCCGCTAACAACTATAACATATTGTAATACACATCAGACGAAAGTCCTCGAGCGAGAGATAGGGAGAGAAGTAGAGTAGCTAGATAGGAAGCTAGACAGCTAGCTAGCGACAGTAGGATAGACTAGGATGCAGCAGGAGCCGATCTTCTTCCGGTGTTGCAATGGCGGGAACTCAGGCGGGCGAAAGAAGCGAGAGTAGGAAGATAAATGGGTGCGAATATGTATGTATATATATATACATATATATATACACATAAAAACACATAAATAAATCACCCAATAAATATGAAAAAATATGCACGCCCTCATACTCTTAGCTCATTGAGATCTGCGCGAGAGCGTTGCACTTAGCAAAACCTCCAAATATAGGTAACCCAAAGTGAATCTAAGCCCTCAGACTCCTAGCTCCTAAGGCTGTGCACAAGCATATCCCAATTGGGAAACCTCCAAATTAAGAAGCTGAGCCCTGAGATTCTTAGCTCCTAGGGCTGTGCACAA